GGAGCCCCCTGTGGGGCCACGAGAAGCCGGCGCGGGACATATGTGATCACCGTCACTTGGGCCTTCTATGGGGCCACGAAGCGCCGTACTGGGTGGCGCGGGACGCATGTGATCACAGCCACTGGTGCCTTCGGTGGAGTTCCCTATGAGGCCACGAAGCGCCGTACTGGGTGGCGCGGGACGCATGTGATCATAGTCGCTGGGACCTGCGGTGGAGCTCCCTATGGGGCCACGAAGCGCCGTACTGGGTGGCGCGGGGCTTATGTGATCACAGCCACTGGGGCCTTTGGTGGAGCTCCACATGTGGCCACAAAGTGCCGTCCTGGGCGCGGGGCGCTTGTGATCATAACCACTGGGGTCTGGGGTGGGCTCCCTATGGGACCACGAAGCGCCGTACTTGGTGGCGCGGGGCGCGTGTGATGACAGCCACTGGGGCCTTCGGTGGAGCTCCCTATGGGGCCACGAAGCGCCGTGCTGGGTGGCGCGGGACGCAAATGGTCACAATCGCTGGGGCCTTCGGTGGAGTTCCCTATGGGGACACGAAGCGCCGTCCTGGGTGGCGCGGGACGCATGTGATCACAGCCACTGGGGCCTTCGGTGGAGCTCCCTATGGAGCCACGAGGCGCCGTGCTGGGTGGCGCGGGACGAATGTGATCACCATCACGGGAGCTTTCGGTGGAACTCCCTATGAGGCCACGAAATGCCGTACTGGGTGGCGCGGGACGTATGTGATCAGCCTTCGGTGGAGCTCGCTATGAGGCCATGAAGCGCCGTACTGGGCGTCGCGGCACGCATGTGATCACACACACACACACGGGGGCCTTCAATGGAGCTCCCATATGGGGCCCCGAAGCGCCGTCTGGGTGGCGCGGGAGGCACGTGATCATAGCCACTGGGGCCGTCGGTGGAGCGCCCTATGGGGTCACGAAGCGCCGTACTGGTTGGCTCGCGACGCACGTGATCTCAGCCAGTGGGGCCGTCGGTGGAGCTCCCTGTGGGGTCACGAAGCGCCGTACTGGTTGGCGTGCGACGCATGTGATCACAGCTGCGGAGGCTTTCGGTGGAGCGCCCTATGTAACCACGAAGCGCCGTACTCGGTGGCGCGGAACGCATGGGTACTGGTTGGCGCGCGTCGCATGTGATCACAGCCACTGGGGCCTTCGATGTAGCTCCCTGTGGGGTCGCGAAGCGCCGTACTGGGGGGCGCGGGACGCGGCCTTAGTTGGAGTTCCCATGGGGCCACGGGGCGCCGTACTGGGTGGCGCGGGACGCATGTTCTTACAGCCGCTGAGGCCTTCGGAGGAACTCTTTGGGAGCACGACGCGCCGTACTGGGTGGCGCGGGGCGCATGTGAGCACAGCCGCTGGTGCCTCGGGTGGAGCTCCGTTTAATAGGGCCACGAAGCGCCGTACTGGGTGGCGCGGGACGCATGTGATCACAACTGCGGGGCTTCGGTGGAGCTCCCTATGGGGCCACGAAGCGCCGTACTGGGTGGCGCGGGACGCATGTGATCACAGCCACTGGGGCCTTCGGTAGAGCTCCGTTTTATAGGGCCACGAAGCGCCGTACTGGGTGGCGCGGGACGCATGTGATCACAATCACGGGAGCTTTCGGTGGAACCCCTTTATGTGGCCACGAAATGCCGTATTGGGTGGCGCGGGGCGTATGTGATCACACACACGGGGGCCTTCGATGGAGCTCCCTGTGGGGCCTCGAAGCGCCTTACTGGGTGGCGCGGGACGCATGTGATCATAGCCACTGGGGCATTCGGTGGAACTCGCTATGGGGCGACGACGCGCCGTATTGGGTGGCGCGGGACGCATGTGATCACAGCCAGTGGGGCCGTCGGTGGAGCTCCCTATGCGGTCACGAAGCGCCGTACTGGGTGGCGCGGGACGCATGTGAACACAGCCGCGGAGGCTTTCGGTGGAGCTCCCTATGTGACCACGAAGCGCCGTACTCAGAGGCGCGGAACGCATGTGATCACAACCGCTGGGGCCTTCGGTGGAGCTCCGTTTTATAGGGCCACGAAGCGCCGTACTGGGTGGCGCGGGACGCATGTGATCACAATCGCTGGGGCCTTTGGTGGAGCTCCCTAGGGGGCCACGAAGCGCCGTACTGGGTGGCGCGGGACGCATGTGATCACAGCCAGTGCGGCCGTCGATGGAGCTCCCTGTGGGGTCACGAAGCGCCGTACTGGGGGGCGCGGGACGCGGCCTTCGGTGGAGTTCCTATGGGGCCACGGGGCGCCGTACTGGGTGGCGCGGGACGCATGTTCTTACATCCGCTGAGGCCTTCGGAGGAACTCTTTGGGAGCACGACGCGCCGTACTGGGTGGCGCGGAACGCATGTGATCACAGCCGCTGGGGCCTTCGGTGGAGCTCCGTTTTATAGGGCCACGAAGCGCCGTACTGGGTGGCGCGGGACGCATATGATTACAACCATTGGAGCCTTCGGTGGAACTCCCCATGAGGCCACGAAGCGCCGTACTGGGTGGCGCGGGACGCATGTGATCTCAGCCAGTGGGGCCGTTGGTGGAGTTCCCGATGGGGCCACGAAGCGCCGTACTGGGTGCGGAGGGCAGAGGCAGGAATGGGAGGATGAAGAGCAGGGACGAGGAGGAGAAGAAGGAGGAGGAACTCGGGGCGTTGTTTCTTCAAGCCGAGGGCCCCACACCACAGGATGGTTGGAAATCAAACACCGTGAACTGTCACTATCGGAGCCCTCGACCCCACGTTTCTGTGGCATTTTTCGAGCCCGATCGATCTGTGGTGGTGGTCCCTGGGCCCGAAACTGGGCGCAACGTCCTGTGTGGAAAAGTTGCCGCGCCAGGGTCTCGGAGAACTTCGAGCTTCTTCGTCGGTATTTTCCCCCTCGCTCCTCGCTCCTCCTTCGAGGCGGGAGGTGCGCGGCTGCACCTTCCAGGCGCACGTCTGCACCGTCGCCAGCCAGGCTGACGTCGACCAGGTCCTTGCGGCGTTTGCCCGCGCCGAGGCGTTCAAGACCGTCTGCAGCTGGTCCTACGCGTTCCGGCTGGCCCCCACGGAGGTCTCGGAGGCCCGAGCGTGTGTAGATCATAGGAGGAACAGCTGCCGATACCGCGGCTCGTCCTAGAGAGGCCTCGTCACCGCGGCTGGGTTCTCCTCGACATGCTGGTCAGAGCGCACCCCAGGAGAGGTCCGGGGAGTAGCGGTATCAGTATCTGCCAGCATGTCCAGTAGAGGGCAGAGGGTACGGAGACGCTGAGTGCAACCCAAGGATGCTCGAGGGTACGTAGAGTGTCCGGATGCGAATCCAGCCGGAAGCTGACGTCTCCTAAGTTCAGAGGCTGTCCGCTGCACTTCTCCTCATGCCCCCGCCCTCTGGTTTTACACCCCTCTCTCCGAACTTGATTCGCTTCGGGCCTCTGCCGACTTCAACGGACCACTGGAGGGCTTTGGAGGCTTCCCGGGACCTCGCGCTTCTGTAGTGGTTTGTTTTTGTGAGGTTTCTGGCGACTTCCAGGGACCTTAGCGACCTTTCGTGGGCGGGGACCTGTCCATGTCCACGGCCTCGCGGCCCAGGCTCCTCGGCGACCAAGGGCTGCTCTGCGCGAACGCCTCTTGCGGAGCGCACCCAGGGGGTCGCATGTGCACGGGATGCGCGATGGCGCGGGCCTGGATGTGTCCGTCGCTCGCGGACCTCTGGAGGCACCTGGAGGCTTCCTGGGAGCTCGGCCCACGACGCCCTCAAGATGCCCCAAGAGGGCTCCAAGCGGAGGAGGGGGGGAGGAGGAAGAGGAGGAGCAGGAGGAGGAGGAGAAGGAGGAGAAGGAGGAGGAGGAGGAGGAGGAGGAGCAGGAGGAAGAGGAGGAGGAGGAGGATGAGGAGTAGAGGGAGGAGGAGGAGAGAGGAGGAGGAGGAGGAGGAGGAGGAGGAGGAGGAGGAGGGGGAGGAGGAAGAGGATGAGCAGGAGGAGCAGGAGGAGGAGGAGGAGGAGGAGGAGGAGGAGGAGCAGGAGGAGGAGGAGCCAGGGGGCTTGCTTCGGGGCCTCTGGAGACCGCTGGCTTTTTTGAGGAGGTGGGCCAGGCGGGCTCCTCTGAGCCTGCGGCCCACGGGGCCCCACGGGGAGCAGAGCAGCCCCCGGCGCGGGGTCCGCTCGAGGCGCTGTTGGCGTCGGGAGGTCTGGAGCCCTGCGTGCTGAGCGCACCCAGGGCGTCGGAGGCATGCGAGAGCGTGTGTGGTCAGGAGCTTTTTGCCTCAGCGCGTCGCTCTGCCCGTTCTGGCCGCCGCGCTCCGGCGCGGCACGCCGGCCGCTTCCCAGAGCCCCAGCGTCAGCGTCCCGAGCTCTTCCCAGCCTGCCGCCCCGCGGAGCGGAGCGACACGCCATCAGCTCGCAGCGCATAGAGTGTCGCCAGACCCGCCGCCGAGACACGCCAAGGCAGAAGTTCCTGACCGCCACCGCCATCGCCACCGCCAGCCTTCTATAGGCCCCAATCTGCGCCCAGGATCTTCCTCCTCCTCCTCCTCCTCCTCCTCCTCCTCCTCCTCCTCCTGGGTACGCTGGGCTCCTCCTCCTCCTCCTCCTCCTCCTTCTCCTTCTCCCTCTTCCGTCCCGGGTCTCCCTCCTCCCTATTCCCTCCTCTCTCCCTCTCGAACATGTTGGTGCATTTCTCCATTTGTCCTTCAAAACCTCCTCCCCCCCCTCCTCCTTCTCATCCTCCTCCCCCATCGATATCCTGCCTCCCTCCCTTCCTCCCTCCTTGCTTCTTCCTCCTCGGTGGATGCCCCCCCCCCCCTTCTCCAGGAGGGCGGCGAGGGCGCTGGGCGAGCGGCGCTGGAGGACGCGGAGGACGGGCTGGACGAGGGGACGGGGCAGCGGATCCTCGGAGTCCTGCAGCGCCTTGGGGCGTCGCGGGGGGGCGAAGAAGTTCCGGCATCGGGAACTCTTGGACAGCGTGCCGCCCCGCCAATTCTTCAAGCAGTGGCGAAGCGTCCTGGCATGCATATAGGCCCATTGAAGAATGTTCTAAGCACCTTTTGTGGTTTGCACGAAATTGCATCAGAACATTTCTGGCTGAGACTGTCTTGTGTTCTTTTTTTAGGGGGGGAGGGGGGTCGGTTTTTCCCCTATCAGAGCTTGCCACTGTAGGGGTCCTAGCGGATTCACATGGTTAGGTTAGCTGCGTCGCCGATTTCGGCGTGCCCGGGTGCCTGGTTGCCCGGGAGCTGTGTCGCCGATTTCGGCGGCCCGCCCAGGTGCCCGGGTGCCCTGGTGCCACATAGTACTATAGCTCTATAGCCCTATAGCCCTACAGCCCTATAGCCCTATGGCCCTATAGCCTTATAGCCCTATAGCCTTATAGCCCTATAGTCCTTTAGCCCCATAGCCCTATAGCCCCATAGCCCTGCAGCCCTATAGCCCTATAGCCCTATAGCACTAAAGCCCTGTAGCCCCATAGCCCTATAGCCCTAGAGCCCTATGGCCCTACAGCCCTACAGCCTGCAGCCCTATAGCCCCATAGCCCTATAGCCCTAGAGCCCTATAGCCCTATAGCCATAGAATAGCCCAATAACCCTATCGCCCCATAGCCCTACAGCCCTATAGCCCTATAGCCCCATAGCCCTATAGCCCTATGGCCATATAGCCCTGTAGACCCATAGCCCTATAGCCCTGGAGCCCCCTAGCCCTGCAGCCCTATATCCCTGTAGCCCTAAGAAGATTGTGTTTGCGGCCGTTCGCCAGCATCATTGTTTTATAGGAGCATTCTTGTCCAACGAAGAGCTATTTTTGGTTATTTGAAGATTCCGTGGTAGGCCCATAGGACTGCCAGGACGGTCGGTCCCCGCTCAAGTTCTGGCGGCCCGCCACGCTTCGGCGCGACACGCTATCCACGCCTCAGTCCCCGAGCGTCAACTTCCCGAAACCTTTCCGGGCCTCCCGCCCCCAGGAGCGGAGCGACGCGCTGTCTGCTCGCAGGGCACCGCGTGTCGCCAGGGCCGCCGCAGCGACACGCAATCCAAAAGTTCCGGACCGTGGGCGCATCCGCTGGCCAGCAGGTGAGCGACGGAACAAACACGGGTTCACTGCCCCGACATTGGCGCGCAAGCTGCCTGCGTAATGTCGCTTACGCCCCCCGTCTCCAGTGTGGCGTGCCGCGCTGGCGGCCCGCGTAAGACGCCGCGATTGGTCGCTGTCATCTTGCGTAAGACCCGTTTCTTTTCGTCGCTCGGGTGACGCACGGAAGAGTCGTCCGAGACCCCGGCGCTACTCTTTTTGCACATTGGGCGTTTTCGCCCGGTTTCGGGCCCTGAGACCATCACAGATCGGCCTGTCTCGGAAACGTGCCAGCGGAATGATGGGGTCTGGGCCTCCAGTCGTCATCTTTCACGATGTTGCTCAAGGCTGCAGCACAATAAAGTACCGAGGAAGACACAATGTCGCAAACATAAACTTTCGGCGCTTCGCGCGGATTTCTTGGATCGGCACTGGGCCGCCTTGAGGGTGCCTGCGGCGCCGCCCCTGGCTCGTTTCGTGCGCTGGGGAGGTGGTGCAGGTGGTGCAGCGCAGATCCAAGAAATCCGCGCGGACCTCCGGAAGTCTGTGTCTGTTCCTGCTTTGGGCTCCTTCGACAGTGCGCACATCCGCCAGCCAGCAAGTGACACGCGGAAGTTTTGGATTCCCCGATGGCCCTGGGGACACACGGAAGCTTTTGGGCATCTTCGGCGTTTCCGGATCGACCCGGACATGCTCGCGTCATGAAGTGTCGCGAAGTGAGCTCTTTCCACGGTCTTCGGTTTCCGGGGGCCCTCGCCAGGCCGCGAGGCCGCCAGGCAGCGACTCGGGATGCAGAGCCGGCCCTGGAGGGCAGGGTCAGGTCTTCGGGGGCCCAGCCCTGGGCTTCTTCAGCGGGAGTGTGTATTCACCTTGCCAGCGGGCCCGTCCCTCTACAGGAGGAATGTTCAAACATAGTAAAAACATAGTCCGGGGACTATGCTTGATGTTTTGTTTGAATATCTGGGGGTATTGTAACTTTTCGCCCAAAGTCCCCCTGTAGGGGGGCGCGCCCGACTTAATACTGTACACGGCCTCCTAACTGCGCCCGCAGAGCGGGAGCCACGGCGGGCCCCCCCTGCGGGGCGCAGCCTCCGCGCGCGGCCTCCCAGCCGGCCTCGGCGCCGTCAGGGGAGGCGCACGCGTGGCTCTCTCTTCGGCGCCCCTCGGGCGCTGCCGTCGGCCCGTCCTGCGCCGTCGGGCGCCTCGCCGGGACCCTCTCGGGGCGTGCCAAAAAACTAAAAACAACTCAGCGAAGCAGCCTAAAACCAAGACGTAAAATAGCTTTGGGATCGGTTTTTACGTCGGGTGCTATTTTGTAGCCCTCCTGGAAGGTCAGGGTGTGCCCTTCTGGGGCCCTTTCGGGGCCCTCTTTTCAGCACCTCCGGGGGCGTCTGGGGCGCTCTCGGGCGCGCCTCGGGCCGCCTTGGGCGCTCTGGAGGCAGAGAGTGCGACTTTGCCGCTGCGCCCTTCGCCGAAAACCCCAGAAGAGGAAATGCGCGGCTTCCGATTTAATATGCGTTGTTTGCGCCGCGTCCCGTCGTGCTGCCTGCGTGTAGTTGTTCATGGCTTGTTCCTCTCCTCCTACGCTTCTGGTGCGGGTCTTCTTGGCGGGGCCTTTTGGAGGCCTCGAGGGCGGCCTCATGGGGACCTTCGCTTCTGGTGCGGGTCTTCTTGGCGGGGCCTTTTGGAGGCCTCGAGGGCGGCCTCATGGGGACCTTGTCAAGGCTCCTGAATGCCTTTGGGGGACCTCTGAGTACTTCTTGGAGGTATATTGGGGGCATTTTGAGGGCGTCATGGGTGTCTTGAGAGCCATCTTGTGGGGGAAGGCTCCTGTTACCCTTGCGAATTCCTTATTTCGGGCCTCCCCAGCCTCTCTTGGGGCCGTCTTGAAGGCCTTTCTGGCAGTCTTGCCAGCCTTTTTGGCAGTCTTGGGACCTTCATGGGCCATCTACAGGCCCTTTTGGGGCCTCTCCGGCCGTCTCTGGCCAATCTGGGAGGCTTCTCGGGCCGTCTCGGGTTTCAGAACCCATTGGAATTGCGAGAATGCGGCAACAATTTCAAACTATATGGGAAATCAGAGATGCGTGCCTCCTGGGGCCGTCTTGTGGGTAATCTTGGGCCTTCTTTGGCCGTCTTCCAGGCTTCCTGGGCCGTCCTGGCGCCATCTTGGATGTTCTCGAGGCCGCTCCAGCGCGTTGAAGCCCGTCTTGAGCCATCTTGGAGGGCATCTTGAGCATTTGGGAGGCTGCGGCGGGTGGGCTCGGAGGCTTCGAGGTCCGAGAGCCAGGGAGGTGCGCCGAGGAGGTCGTGCCCCCCCCCTTCCCCCCCCCCCCGATAGCGGGATTTGGGGCCGCAGGGGGGGGGGGAAGGAGGAGGGGGGCCGCCAAATACCTCACGCGCCTTTTCTCCACCCGCACGCGGGGTGGTCGGGTACACGTTGCGCATGAGAGACTTCGGCCTTCACGGCGCCCAAGGCGGCCCCACAGGCCTCCCGGATCATCCCAAGACGGCCCAAGAGGCTCCCAAGAGGGTCCCGAGGCGCCCCCCAACACGGCCCAGGAAGTGCCCGAGACGGCCCAAGAGGGCATGCGCGGAGGAGGGCCTTCGGAGGGGTCCAAGAAGGGGAATTCGAATTTGGATGTTGAGCCCTCCACCCCACCCGAGACCGAAAGCAGGCACCCAAGAGGCCCCAAGAGACCCCCAGAGGCCCAAAAGAGGCCTTCACAAGGCTCCAAAGGGACCTCCTGACAGGCCCTGGTAGCTCAGACCTCGTGGCTCACAAACGACCGTGCGCCATAGCCGTCCCAACCGCTCATATACCGTACTGAGGAATCAACTAGTCCGGGGACGGTCAACAAGGCAACACACACACACACACACATATATATATATATATATACATACATCGATAGAAATAGTTATAAAAGAATATATGCAGATGGGCAGCCCCGTCCCAGCACCAATTCATCGTTTTGTTTTCTTTTGACAGTGACGCAGCATGAGTGCTATTCTCCTCTCTCCCCCGACGACCCCGAGGTCGTAGCCTGCCCCCTACGTGTATGGGTTGTTTTACACATCGGATCCCCCAACGGTGGTCGATCATTGGTTTTTCCAATCCCAACGTTTTCGGTGCTTCCATAATGGTGCTCCCGTTGCAGCGTTGGCTCCAATTTCTAGCTCTTTGTCATTACAACTCGTACCCCCACTGCAGCGCTGAACTCATCTCTTTGTTTCGTATCTTCCAACTCCCGCTACAGCGTTTGCCTTCATGCTAACGTTTCCGCTCTTTCCGAACTGTCAATGTACATGCTTCGTCTCGCGTCATACCTGTTTTCCCTCATAACCTGTTGTCGAGATGAGTTGCAATACGTCACTACGCAATGTCACGCCATGCTACGCCATGTTTCGCTCTGCCGTGCTCTTCCACGCCGTGCTACTCCGTGCGCTACCATGCATCTCGTACCCTCTCGGGATCATTGCCCTGATTGACATCCGACTTTGCGAATAGAGATGAGTTCTACGCCATGGTAAAGGGAGGAGACGTCAGAGAAGACGCTTGCGCACCTAGCTTGACGGTTGCGCACCTAGCTTGACGGTGGTTTTCTATTCTTTCCTGGTTCGTGTCCCTTCTCCTCCTGTTCTGCGTCTTCCTCCTTCGCATCCTCCTCTTCCTGTTGCTGCTCTTCCTGCTGCTGCGGGCCCTCCTGCTCCTGCTGCTGCTGCTGCTGCTCCTCCTCCTCCTCCTCCTCCTCCTCCTCCTCCTCCTCCTCCTCCTCCTCCTCCTCCTCCCCCTTCTTCCTCTCTTCTCCCGCCTCCCCTCCCCCTCCCCCCATGACGCCGGTTATGACCGCAAATAAGGAAGCGCTCCTGGCGTCTCCCCTTTTCCGAGCTGCGCGGGCGTTTCTCTCCCAGTCTCGGGCCCCGAGAGCGATCACATATCGATCGGGCTACAAAGGTGGCGCAGGGAGATCGAGTTCGGGGCTCTCCTCGCGCTTTTTCGCGACGCTGTGCGTTTTTTTCGCCACGTCGGATCTCAGCAGGGAGGCCCTGGCCGTGCGCAAAGGGCCCCCCGAATCACTCAGGGCTGGCCCCAGCGCGCCCCCAGGAGCACATACCCCGGGCCCCGCGGCGGTCTCAGCAACCAGCGCCGCCTCTGGCGGCGACCCGTGGGCGCCCCCCGCGCCCGGTGGGTACGACATGCGGACTGCCTCGGGGGGCCCTCCGTGAGCAAGTTGGGGCCGTGCCGTCCATGGGCCCCTCATCCGCATAGCGCCGTGGTCCGGAGCGGGCGCCCCGGCTCGGGGGGGGGCCTTCCCCTCCCCGCGACGTCGTGGAGTTTTCAGTCGCGTGGCTCCCCGGCCTCTTTCCCCAAGTCAGCTTCGTCGGCCCGGGCAGTTTTTTTGTAGCCTCTTTTGGCCCCAAAGACTGGAACTCCGCTAGCCGAGGTCGCGAAGGAACGCCCGCATTGGACAAAAGCAGCGCCGAGTCGTAAATCCAGGCCTCTCCCCTTTAAGGTCGACTCTTCATGTCGGGGGGGCCTTCAGGGAAGCATCCGGAGGGGAACCCGGTCGCGACCACAGGGCGGCACCGAAGGTTCCAAACAGTCAAGCGATTCATGGACTTCTTGCTTGGATGGTTTTCAGTTAGGTTTGAACTTACGTTTTCATTTGTTTATAGGCAACACGAGTTGAAGGTCGCTGAAGGTTTTCAGGGCCAGATCCCCGTACGCTCGGCGGGCGCGCTTGATCGGTCAACAGCAATCCTTACCGCCGTCCTTCGCGTGAAGCTCTGACTTCAGGTTTGCTCTTGCCCACGATTGGGCTGCTCGTGCTTGCCCTTGCCCTGCAGCAGCATTGCCCTCTCCCCCGTCGCCCCAGAAACACCGATCGCGTTCGCTGCCCCTCAGCGAGCTTCAAAACACGAGCCTTTCCCTGAGACTGTGCCCGTATCCTGGGCGCTGACTGAATACCCTTGCCCTGCTCGATTCCTTCCTTGCGCACGGGGCCTTGGGAGGAGGAGGAGGAGGAGGAGGAGGAGGAGGAGGAGGAGGAGGAGGAGGAGGAGGGACATCACGAGCCTCATCCCAGGTGGAGGGGCTGATGCTGCTCGTCAGCCGGTGGCAGGACTACGGCGCCTCGCCGGGCCTGGAGCTCCTCGGCACGGAGCTCTACAGCATCGTGACCGAGCGGTGCAAGGACCAGCCCGAGCTCCATGCGGCGGGGTTCCGAGCACCCCGGGCCTCTGAGGGAGGAGGAGGAGGAGAAGAGAGGAGGAGGGAGGAGGAGGAGGAGGAGGAGGAGGAGGAGGAGGAGGAGGAGGAGGAGATGATGATGATGAGATGAGGAGGAGGAGGAGGAGGAGGAGGATGAGGAGGAGGAGAGGAGGAGGAGGAGGAGGAGGATAGCAGCAGGAGCATAGCAGGAGCAGGAGCAGGAGCAGGAGGAGGAAGGAGGAGGAGGGGGAGGAGGAGGAGGATGAGGAGGAGAGGAGGAGGAGAGGAGGAGGAGGATGAGGAATGAGGATGAGGATGAGGAGGAGTAGAGGAGGAGTAGGAGGAGGAGGGGAGGAGGAGCAGCAGGAGCAGGAGCAGGAGCAGGAGCAGGAGCAGGAGCAGGAGCAGGAGCAGGAGGAGGAGGAGGAGGGGGAGGAGGAGGAGGAGGAGGAGGAGGAGGAGGAGGAGGAAGAGCAGACAACAGGCAGGTGGAGGGGGCCCAGTCCGCCGGTGTCGAACACTTCAACAGACGGCTGGCGGAGGAGGACGGCGAGGATAATGACGAGGAGACGGGGCCGGAGGAGGCGGAGGAGGAGGATGAGGAGAAGAAGAAGACAACGGATAATCCACAATAACATCACGAGTGCTACGAATACTCATACTACGGTTGTTCGTGCTATGCTACGGCTATTCTCAGTATTTGCCATGGCAGCGTCACCGTTCTGAGTAGTGTTTTTTTTACGCCCACCAAGAAGAGTACATATACGAACCACATGGGCAGTAAGAAGCGACTTATGCTTGATGATGCGACTACGACTAGCAATACGATCGCCACTAACCGACATATTCGGACTGCGATCAGTGGTACGATGCAGACTATGAACAACATTGCTGCCACTGGTAATATTTCACACACAACGCGAAACAGATGACGCTCCATGCTCGTATTGCTGCTGGTCGTAGCGGTAAGAACACTCTCAGGACGTAGGTAATTCTATTCGTACGAAGAACACATAATACTAAGGACGAGGATGAGGATGACGAGGTGGGGGAGAGGAGGAAGAAAGGGATGTGGAAGGATGACAGGAGCGCGGGGAAGTGAAAGAAGAGCTCGGACCAGGAGGATGAAGCAGAGTGAGGAATGGGAAGACGCAAGTGGGAGGATCATAGATGCGCGGATTGATGTAGGGAGGGAGGGTGGGAGGGAGGCGGCAAGAGCCGACTGGCGATTGCCATGCCTCTTCTCTCATAGTTCTGGTGTTTCTTCTTCTTCTTCATCTTCGTCATCGTCTTCTTCTTCTCCGAATCCTCGTCCTCTCCCTCCAGCGCATCCCTGGGTTCAGCTATGCATGGAGTTCAACCCGAAATGTCTGGCTGCTGCTCTTTTTTTGGGGGGGGGCGGGCTTTGCTCTTGGGGGGAGGGGCGCGGCACCGTTCAACGTTGTGCTGTATACCTGCCCTCGCAGTGTGGGCTCTCTCCCGCGCTTCGTTGTGGATCGTAAGCGTCGTCGGCGTCTGCGTCGTCGTCGTGTTGGTTCGGTCTCCGTTGTCGTCGGCGTCTTGGATCGTTGATCCTCTCAGGGGGTTTTCCTTGTGTCGTGACCACCGCCCTCGCTCCCACCCTGACATCCACCTCTCTCTCATCCTTCTCCTCTCCCTCCCCTCCCCCCGTCCCCCCTTTCCCCTTGTCTTCCTCCTCCTTCCTCCTCCTCCTCCTCTTGATCCTTCTCCTCTTCCTCGTCTTCTTTCTTCTCCTCCTCCTCCTCCTCCTCCTCCTCCATCCCTTTCCCTTATGCATAACTCCTTCCCGTTGCACCCCCAGACGTTTTGGTAGGGCGGACTTGGCGTTTCGCCTGCGACCGCTTCACTAGTTGTGACCCGTAAGCTTGAAAGTTTGCATCCGTTTCACTGAGGGAGGGCGGGTCGTTTTCAAAATGTGGCTCTCGCCTGAGCGCCGTGCGCATTCGTCTTGAAACCGTGCAGCAGTTCCACTGATGGAGGGCGGGCCGTTTTCAACATGTGGTTCTCGTCGTGGCGCCGTGCACATTCGTCATAACAGTTCGCAGCAGCTTCATGGATGGAGGGCGGGTGGCATTCACATTGTGACTCGCCTCAGCGCAGCACGCATTCGTGTTAACAGTTTGCGGCAGCTTCATGGATGGGTGGCGGGAGACTTTCAACTTGTGGCTCTTGCCGTAGCGCCGCGCACATTCGCGTCAACAGTTTGCAGCAGTTTCACCGGTCGAGGGCTGGTGGTTGTCAGCATGCGGTCCTCGCGTGAGCGCCGCGCACATTCGTTTTAACACGTTGCAGCAGTTTCTCGGACTCATATGGTCGACGTCCCAGACATGGTGTTCTGGCTTGATGTAGGGTTGTCAGGACGCGACAGTCGCGTTGATTCGTGGCGTTGCTTTGCCAGGAGTGGCGTTTTAGCACGATTTGGGATTGTCAAAACGCAGCAATCATGCTGATTCGAGGCGCTGAAGTCCCAGGAATAGTGCCTTTAGCACAACTTAGGGTCCTCAGACGGTTGTCTTCCAAGAGGACATTTCCCGCAATGCAAGTTATATTCTTGTAGGGGCGTATGAGAGGGACCTGGGCGGAGGGTTTATTGCAACATTGTTGCTGCGTGTTGAGTTCGCACTGGTCCTCCGCCTCCTCCTCCTCTTCCTCCTCCTCCTCTTCTTCCTCCTCCTCCTCCTCCTCCTTCTCCTCCTTCCCCCCCCCTCCTCCTCCTCCTCCTCCTCCTCCTCCTCCTCCTCCGCCTCCTCCTCCTCCGCCTCCTCCTCCGCCTCCTCCTCCTCCTCCTCCTCCTCCGCCTCCTCCTCCTCCTCCTCCGCCTCCTCCTCCGCCTCCTCCTCCTCCTCCTACCCCTTCTGGACCACTTCCCCGAGATCGGCTTCGCATCTTGAGTCGTTTCTTGATGGCTGTGGGGTTCGGCGGGGGCCCCCAGGGGCCGTAAGTGGCAACATCACCTGCCGTCGTGATTCTTCCGCGGCCAGACGACCGCGCGCGCACCCGCGCGCGCGGGATCGCGCGACGGTGGCGACGGCGGCGGCGTCGGGCCCCGTCGGGCGCCGACGGGCGGCGAGGACCTGATTGCCAGCCTCCAGAGCGCCATGGGCCTCGACCGCCTCCCGCTGCGGCGCACCCCGCCGGGGCCGCCGCCAGGGCCGAGGACGGGGGGCCTCCCCCTCCCCTTCTCATTTTCCTCCTCCATCCTCCCTGTCGTGCCTGATGTTTCTTTCATTTTCTGAATGTTCCTCCTCCATCCTCCATTTCTCCCGTCCATCTTCCTCCTCCTTGTCCTCCATTTTCCCGATGCTCCTTCCCCCATTTTCCTCCTCCATCCTCCTCCCCTTCTCATTTTCCTCCTCATTTTCCTTATGATTAACTCCTCCCTGTCGTGCCCCCGGACGTGTCGGCCGGGCGGGCCGGGCGTGTCGCCCGAGACGTCGGCACCCGTTCTTCTGAAGCTCGACATTTGCAGCAGTTTTACGTACGGAGGGCGGGCCGTTTTCAAAATGTGGCTCTCGCTTCAGCAGCGCGCGCATTTGTTTTCCAAGGTGGCAGCAGCTTCGCGGATAGAGGGCGGGTTTTCTTCAAACTGTGACTCTTGCCTGAGTGCCGCGCGCGTTCGTTTTATTTTTTGCAGCAGTGTCACAGATGGAGGGCGTTTTTTGTTCAAGATGTGACTCTCGTCTGAGCGCCGCGCACATATGTTTCAAACACTTGCAGCGGTTTCACGGACGGAGGGCAATTCTTTTTCTATATGTGACTCTCGCCTTAGCGCCGCGCACATTTGTCTTGCAATTGTTTCGAAGTGTTCGTTTGGTTGAAGTTCCAGGCATGGTGTTCTGACATGATTTAGGATTGTCAGGGTGCAACCGTCACGCTGGTTCGCTCTGCTGAAGTCCCAGGAATCGCAGGCCTAGAGGTTGACACCAACACCAAGATCGGCGGTGTGCCTCCACCGAGGGAAGACGATCCCGATCTCGGTGATGGTGGTAATATTCTGACTTCCAAGGTGATTGAAATAGTACCACCAACACCGAAATCTAGGATCATCTTCCCCATGTGGAGGCACCCTCCTGTGCTGTTGGTGCCAATCCCCAGGCCTTCAAAGCAACGGTGTTCCGGCACGATTTCGGGCTGTCAGGACGCAGTAGTTACGCTGAGTCGCGGCGCAGTAGTCCCAGGAAGGGTGTTTTGGCACGATTATGGATGATCAAGCGGTTGTCTTCAAATGGAGCCTTTCCCATAATGCAATGCACATGTTGTAGGTACCTATGAACAGGGAACTTGGAGGGAGGCATGCGTCTTGGGTTTGCTCTGGTCCTCCTCCTCCTCCTCCTCCTCCTCCTCCTCCTCCTGGCTCTTCCTCTCCCTCTCCCTCTTCTTCTTCCCCTCCTCAACCTCCTCCGCCATCCCCCTCCAGGAGGGGAGAGAGGGGGCCTACCGGTGGTGGCCTCCTCGCGTCCCCACGCTCTCGCGGGCAACGTTCGGGGGGGCCACAGGCTGAAGGGGGGACGCATGGGCCTCCCAGTCGCCCATGCATCTCCGTGAGGGCCCCGATATGCCCACCCGGCCAGGGAGCCTGCGAATTCACTGCCGGGGACCTCTCGCCGAACTATCTCAGGAAGAAAAAAAACACACTGACGCAAGTAGTCGTCGACCCCCAGGAAAATATGGGAAAACATGGGAAGTGGGTGGGAAGGCAAAAACCCAGAAAATATGGGAACCTGTGGGGAATCCTTTTCTTTGTGTGTATTTATTTGTGTGTCTCAGGGCCCCTGCAAAATCGGCGAAGTATCTTCGATTCCGGATCGATGGTTCCCCCTCTGAGCCGGTCCTCCCCTCCACGTTCCCCCTCGGCGGGGGGGGCTGCCTCCCAGCGTCGACGATCGCTGCGGGCGAAGCGTGGGCGAGGAGGGATCCACGAAGAAACAATGCCACATACCTGTGATCGTTTTCATAGTCGTTGTTTTGCCGATGGGCGCGGGCTCTTGGCTGTTGTTGGCGCCTGTTTCGGGCAGGTGGAGTCTCCCCCATGGTACGCACTTCTGCAAACAGTCTGTGTTGCGTTAAGCAGAGGTCCAGGGACAGACCCCCCCTTCCCTCCCCCCTTCCACCCAACGTCGAGACGCCGAATAAGAAAACGCTCCAGCTCCCCGAACTCCGCGCGGAAGCGCCGCCCCGGCGCGCTCCGCGCACCCGCTAGAGTGCGAGGCTGGCCTTGAGAGCCGACGTCGCGACAAGGTGCAACATCGTAGAAAGCCGCGACCGAAGCCCTAGACCCCCCATGATTTCTGCGGCCGTTCTCGAACAGGATCCATCTGCGGGGGTGTCCCGTGGCCCGAGACAGGGCTAAAGCGCTCGGTGCAAAATCAAAATTCGACGCCAGGATTTCGCGCAGTGTGATTTGCACTTGTGAGTTCTCGCTAAAGCGAATAACTGCCCGAATTTCCGCCCCGAATTTCGGCCACGCTCGCGGGACATAGGTTCTGTGGACGGTCGTGGTTTGTTTTGCTCGGCAGATTTGGGGCTACCACGCGCTTCGCTATGTTACGAATTCGGGCCATATTTGTAAAACAAAAAAATAATCAAAATTCGACGCCAGGATCTCAGGGTCGACGGTCTCGTGTTTGACCCTCTGCGAACACCCTCGGAGCCACGGGTCTCCAGGACGTTCGACTTTGCCTCGCTGCCGCCGCTCCCGGAGCCCGTCGCGCCGCCCAAGTACGGCAAGAACCACTTCATGTCCGACAGCAGCCTCGCGCCCGCGTGCGGCGCGGCGGCGGTGGGCTCCGCCCCCAGCTCCGCTGCCGGGAGACACAGCTACGGTGAGGGGGGAAAAAAAAATGGAACCCCTTCGCCTTCGGCCCCGCATTCGCCCCCCCCCCCCCCCCCTTCCCCCAATTTCAAAGTTGGGCTCGGCCTCTCGGATACCCTGGGGGGTTCCACTTTTTCTGTCCTCTCACGCCTGTGCTGCCAAATGCTTGAGGCCAACTTTGAAATTGGGGGGAGGGGGGGGGGCGTGGTGTCAAGGGTTCCACTTTTTTGTCCATCTACGGTAGAACAGTTGGACCCTAGTGTTCTTCGTATTTGCTGGATGCTCTCGGGGAGGTCGGGAGCGGCCAAGAGGAGGGTGATGACTAGGGGGGGGTGGATATCATGGCGTGGGCCATGATACTTCCCCAGATTTCATGGCGCCTCTTCTCATGTCAGTACGTGACCAGCCGCCACCCCCCCCTGGCCCGCGTGCATGCCACCGACCATGATTTGCGCCCCCCCCCCTCTGGGACGCCCCCCTCTTGGCCGCCCCCGAGGAGGGTGCCCTCAGCTGTTCTGCCTGTCTTGGCCGACTCGTGCTCCTGCGGGATGTGCTTCTGGCCCAGGTCCGACGGAGCATCTGCTCCTACTACAGGGCAGTTTTTACTACATGGGATGTTTTTATTTGTGTATATATATATACATATTTAGACATCATTACTTCATCATTGAATTCATGCATGAACTCATAGTTGTTTTTGATACTAGACCCCTGCATTTTTAATACATGATCCGCACGCGGAGCATGTATTGAAAAGGGCCCTGTACGTGCGCGCCGGCCCCGCCTGGGGCGGCGCGCTCCTTCGGAAGCCATCCTGCAGCATCGGCTCGACGGCGGGCGCCTGCGGGCCGTGCCGCTCGGGCACACGCCGCGCCGTGCTGCGTGTTTGTGCTGCGGGTTCGCTTGGAACGGGCGCCTCCAGTTTGGGCGCCCGAAATGGGTACGGAAAGAATGGATACGATGCCCAGCAGCAGTTCCTCGTCATTCTGAACAGGACTCGCTGTCGGTGTCGCCGCGGCCCGTGTCCACTTGAGACAGAGGGCCGCCTGCCCAACAGCGGCCGCTGTTGGTTTGGGACAGCCTTTGTTGTTGGGCATTGTGCCCATTCTTTCCGTACCCATTTCGGGCGTCCAAATCCAGGGTTGGCGCACAGTGCTGCTGCCCTCGTCAAAATGGATCTCAAGAATGGCGAGCACGCCCGTGCGACGTCGGCGCGCCCTTCGATGTCGATAGACGCCCCTCCAGTGTCAGGGCCAGGGCAGAGTTGGTCTGACCGGGAACGACTCGGAGGTTCGATGATGACAGACATTGGAGGGGCGGCGCATACAAGAACCTCGCAGTCATCACTACTCTGTCCAATATCTTTCCACAAGCAGTTCAGCCACGTAAGACATTTTTGAGGTTAATTTTGACGAGGGTTGTAGAATGTCCTTCTGCGTCTTGTGCGTGCCATGCTAGCTCGCGCACTGGATGGGCGGCTGTCGTCGGGAGGCTGAGGAGGTTCCTGCCCTCGGGCTGGGCTTCATGGACCCCTTGTGCTGTCGCGCATCCACGCTGGACGGACAAGCAGATCGGCAGTCCACGCCGGCCGGAGAGACCTGCGTGCTTTTGAAGCCGGATCCGGTTCCAAAGACACGCGGTCCTTCATGGACCCCTTGCGCTGTCGCGCATCCGCCCTCGACGGACAAGCAGATAGGCAGTCAACGCCGCCCTCGAGGATGAGCCTCTCAGGCACGGTGTCCTGAGGAGGGAGGGAGGAGCAGGGAGCAGGGAGCAGGGAGGAGGGAGGAGGGAGGAGGGAGGAGGGAGGAGGGAGGAAGGAGGAGGGAGGAGGGAGGAGGGAGGAGGAAGGAGGGAGGAGGGAGGAAGGAGGTTGCACTTTTCTCTGCTCTGGACCCGGGGCCCCGGGTGGGCCCGGAGCGTTCCCAGCTCTCTCGCCCTTCCGAGCGTTGCCTATACGTCGAGCGTGTCTTCTCTTCGCGCGCGTGTCCATCTCTACCCTGCTGCAAAATCGTGCCCCGGGACCTCGAACAGTGGTGGATTTGGACATGTGTTTGCCCCCTGGCGGGGAAGCATCGATGTCCACTGCTTCGCGGCGTCCTGCAACAGAGGGTATTGGACGTGCCCCTGCGCTTCTAAAGCTGCTGGCGGCAGCGGCGTCTGCTCGCTCTGCTGTTTGTTCTTTCTGTTGCCTTGCCGCCTAGAGAAGCGATCGGCGACGCGGCGCGGACTGTGACGACGACGGGGAAGCAGGGCTTCTGGCCGGGCAGCGAGCGGAAGATGCGACGAGATCCGCGCCAACGCGGCCAGTCCCAGACATCGAGACGGGCGTTTCTGTTGTTTCGTTTGTCAATTGTGGGCTTCGGCAGGCCCTTTTCAGGCCCTGGGGCCGTCAGGCAACGACCCTGGGATGATTGGCCGGCCCCTGGAAGGGGTCGAGAGGTCGGGGGCTCCGTGGCTGGGACAAGGATCGAGCCGCTGGCTGCCCGGGGCTGCTGTCGTCGGCAGCTCAGGCCCGAAGTCCATGGACCTGGTCGGCGGAGATGTGCGGCTCTGGATGTCCAACGACCAGTGCCTCCAGAATCTGCCAGACTCCGAGCTGTGGTCTCTCCGATCCATGCGGCAGCCGGACCGGGGGCGGCTTGGCGGCAACCCCCCAGCAGTCCAGGGGCAGTGCAGCGCTCACAGCCGGCACGAGGGTTCAGACCCTCAGCCTTGGAGAGGTACCCTTATGTTGCTCGTGCTGTCTCCGTGGGGCCTCGGGCCATGGGCGAAGGGGCTCACGTTCCTGACCCGCGTGCTTGTTGCCAGGCTTCGGCGAGGCTGGATGCGACCTCCAGAAGCTGCTGCTCCAGAGTGCCTGCCCTGGCTTGCCCACGAGGCCCAGGCGCCGCGAAAGCGTCGCGGGCCCCGGGGCCCCAGAGCCCCCGGCCTGCGGGGTCCTCCGTGCGAGGCTCTCTCCGCCAGGTCGGCTTCTGGTCGAGGGCTCCCAGCGCTCGAGCGGGCCTCCAGGGACCCAAGGCGAGTGGAGCCGCGCGCCTGCCCGTGCACCGAACGTCTTGGACAGAAGCGCAACGGAGTGGTTTCGCAGTGCTCGGCCTCTGGGAGCCGGCTTCGGGTTCTGGAACCGGCAGAAACGGCCCACGAAGAAAAGACGGCGCTGGGGAACGGGCCGGGACGTCTGGGGAACCCAACGTGAGAGCATCAAGTCGTCGGATGTCTGCGTACTGCCGAAGCCACGCACGAGATGCCGGCCTCACAGCACATGCAGATCCAGGAGCAACCTAGGACACCCGCGCTTGCCCGAGGGTCTTGCCCCCACCACCCCTCAGCTTTCTCGTCAAAGCGCGCCTGGTGCCCCAGCTCGGGCTGAGGGACCGTAGATGGACAAAAAAGTGGAACCCTTGACACCACGCCCCCCCCTCCCCCCAATTTCAAAGTTGGCCTCAAGCATTTTGCAGCACAGGCGTGAGAGGACAAAAAATTATCCCGGCAAAGCAACCTAACAGCCATGTGTAGGAGCATCTCTGGGTCGAACAGCATCTCGACGAAAAGGCAGCGACAAAAAAGATGACGTCGACGACAGCGGTGGCGGCGGCGACGGCGGCGGCGGCGGCGCCCTCGTGCTCCTCCTCCTGCTCGTCCTCTTTCTGCTGCTCCTCCTCCTCCTCCTCCTCCTCCTCCTCCTCTTCTCTCTCTGCTCCTCCTCCTCCTCCTCCTCCTCCTCCTCCTCCTCCTGCTCGTCCTCGTTCTCGTCCTCCTCGTCTTGCTCGTCCTCCTCCTCCTGGTGCTCTCTCCTCCTCCTCCTCCTCCTCCTCCTCCTCCTCCTCCTCCTCCTCCTGGTGGTCCTCGTTCTCCTCCTCCTGGTGCTCTCCCCCCCCCTCCTCCTCCTCGTCCTCCTCCTCCTCCTCCTCCTCCTCGTCCTCCTCCTCCTCTTCCCTCCTCACCTCCTCCTCCTCCTCCTGGTAAGTCCTCCCCCTCCCCTCCTCCTCCTCCTCCCCTCCTCCTCTTCCTGGTCGCCCTCGTTCTCGTCCTCCTCGTCTTGCTCGTCCTCCTCCTCCTGGTGATCTCTCCCTCCCTCCTCCTCTCCTCCTCTCCCCCCCCCCTACTCCTCGCCTCCTCTCTCCTCCTCCTCCCTCCTCCTGGTGGTCCTCCGTTCTCCTCCTCCTGTGCTCTCCCCCCCCCCTCCTCCTCCTCCTCCTCCTCGTCCTCCTCCTCCTCCTCCTCTCCTCCTCCTCTCATCCTCCTCCTCCTCCTCCCTCCTCCTCCTCCTCCTCCTCCTCCTCCTCCTCCGCCTCCTCCTGGTAGTCCTCCACCTCCCCTCCTCCTCCTCCTCCTCCTCTTCCTGGTCGTCCTCCTCCTCCTGGTCGTCCTCCTCCTCCTCCTGCTCGTCCTCCTCCTCCTCCTGCTCGTCCTTCTTCTCCTGCTCCTCCTGCTCCTCGTCCTGCTCCTGCTCGTCCTCGTCCTCCTGGTCTTGCTCGTCCTCCTCCTCGTCGTGCTCTTGCCCCTGCTGAAAATGTGGTCCAGGAATGGGAGTTCTGGGAAGTCGAAGAGCACGAAGTTGCCTACAGTTGGCTACGGGCATTCAAAATGTGGCCCTGGAATGGAGTTCTGGGAACTCGAAGAGCACGAAGTGGCCTACAGTTGGCTCCGGGCATTCAAAATGTGGCCCGGGAATGGATTTCTGGGAAGTCGAAGAGCACGAAGTGGCCGACAGTTGGCTCCGGCACCAAGAATCGTGGTGCCCGTGAATGTGGAATATCTGGGGAAACTCGAGTAGAGCACGAGAATTGGGGGACCCAGTTTGCATCCGGTTTACATTTTCTCACATGTGGCCCGGGAATGGAGTTCTGGGAAGTCGAAGAGCACGAAGTGTGTGACTGTTGCATCCGGTTATTCTAAATGTGGCCCGGGAATGGCGTTCTGGGATCTCGAAGAGCACTTTGTGTGTGACTGTTGCATCCGGGTATTCAGAATGTGGCCTGGGAATTGAGTTCTGGGAAGTCGAAGAGCACGAAGTGTGTGACTGTTGGTGAAAAACGAGCCCGGCACCCTGCCGCCCGGCAACTCCCCAACACCTGCCCGGACCCCCCTGTGGAGTGATCTGTGAGCTCTTTTGAGTCAACTAGAAACCTATCAGTCTTCGCTGTTAGGTAATATGAAAGTTAAGTGCATGCGCGCCAGAACACGGCCACTGAATTGAGCAGCGGCGGGCGGCGGTAGGCAATACATCAGCGCGATACTATGCAAGAAGGGAGGCAGGAGGGAGAGGAGGGAGGGAAAAGGAGGACAATGGCAAGGGAAAGAACACACTAACTACACAACTTTGCAATACCGTGCAACTGCAGCTTCCCAAGATCCAGGAGGGCCTCGCAGTAGGCCCCGCAGGCTATCTGGACAATCTCCTGCCAGGCTCAGAGCACACGCGTGCATGTAACGCGTCCACTGCAGGCGGGGGCGTCCTTGCTTCCGTGAAACGTCCCATCTTCTCGGCAGAAACCTGCATGCTTGCCCTTCTTCAAAATCCATTTGCCTGGGAAGTGCGCCGGGCCGATCACGAGCCATTTTCCCATAATAAACCAACGAAGAAGAAGAAGATGGTGTATGTGGGGCACCCTAACTCTGGAGTGGCTCCACCTGATAGAACGTTAACCTCGAGCAACACGGACCTCTTGAGAAGGTACGTGGTCCACTCGAGGATGCAATATGGCATCCATGTCGGTGCCCAAGACAACCAGCGCCATCTCCACGGCGGCCGTCAGCTTGGTCGCTCTTGAAGTAGGCGTCGGCGCATCTGAGAAACAAACCCAGCCCGATTTGCTCTACACGCGTGGCGCCGTAGTCCACCAATCCAGTGGAAGTCCGCAACGTCGTGCAATGCCCACTCTCGAGTAGCGGTACGCTGGGCATTCTTTCCAGTAGTGTCTGAAACTCGGGAACGTGGAGCCGCAGAGTTTGCAGCCCTTGCCCGAGCACCTCCGCGTCTCCGAGGACACAGCTCCAGCACGATAGATTCGCACCAGTCGCCTCTCATCCTCAGGCAGACGCTTGTAGAATTGCTTGTATATCATATTTGACTCTGCATCCACATCCACGTCCAGGATCTCAGCAGCGTCAAACCTCGTGTCGTTGACCATAGCCACGCAGCGTATCCTTGCCACACAGCAAAGAGCGTGCTCGACCTTCTTCTCATAGCGGCGATCTCCGCCAGGGCGGTGCGTCCAGAAACGGTTCTGTCCACCCACCACCTCCTGCAGTACACTCACCACTCTGTGATCGTCCGCTGGGCCCACCTGCAGGCAGCAATCCCAACGATCGGCGTAGGATATGAAAGCGAGGCCCAGCACCTGGGCACGTCGTAACATAGCCTGCTCAAGAACAGGATAAACCAAGTGCTGCTGCAACAATGTTGAAGACAGCCGCGCCGTTCCACTCGTGGCCCTTACTTCTTCATTGCTCACCCGCGACAAAAAAAAGCCGGGGGGGGTTGTAGTTCTCACGTTGGCACCGCGCTTGGAAACCACTGAGCCTGCCCCTATCAGCGGCGAGCAACATGCAAGATTCTAGCTCGTAAAATAGCTTCGAAAAAAATGCATGTGTCCAATTTCGCCGCTTTTCGACGGCGGCACTGATTTGCACGGTTCCACGGAACGCTGAGCTTTTGAAATGCGCTCTTCGCCTCGCCAAGGCACCGTGTAAGCTGTTTGTTGGCCCCCATCGGCACTAAGAAAGCCACCCATATAGATTGCGCGGTCTCGGCGTTGAATAGGTTTGCCTCCGGGCACCAAATATAGTCGCATCGCGTCGGATTTTCAAGAGCGCAGTGTTGCCGACATTCAGCTACAGACCGAATGATGTCACAACGCGCGCAAAAACTGCAAGCGGGTTCGAGGAACGCCTGGATTCTCTGCCATTAACAACGTGTCGTCGGCATAGAGCACGCCCCCCGTTATGGCGCACGGCCCGTTGACTCTCGCGGGGCCGCGTAGCTCGACCCCCACGGCATGCAGAAGAATAGGCATTACGATGACAGATAAGTACGTTGACAAAGGGCACCCCTGTGCGACCCCTGCATTCTGACATCGCTTGGGCGACTTCCTGTCCCGACTTTTCACGATGAACTTGCGTGCCGCGTAACTTCCCTTGATCATGCTGATCACATCTGGACGCACACCAAATTGTCGCAAAGCGTGAAGTAGTCCATCTGGCTCGACGAGGTCGAACCCTTTGCCCCAATCTGAGAGCAATAAGAAGTTGCCCACATTTACCCCCCCCCCCAAAAAAAAAAAAAAGCTGCTTCAATCAGGCGCCGCGCCAAAAACAATGCGTCAGCGGTGCCCTGGGCCGGTCTGAAACCGCACTGCGACTCTCGCAAGCGCTGCCCCACGCCACCTGCATTGAACCTCTGCAAGGTTATGCGCACGTGTACTTTGCAACCTACGGTTAGTAGTGAACTTGGCCTGTAGTTGCTCGGTTGTGATGTGTCCCCCTTTTTAGAGATGGACGCCTCTCGCCGGTCTTCTGACATTGCCTTTTGTTGCCAGCATCCGTCGCACAGTTTCCGCAGAATTTCCAGCGCCGCGTCGCTGGGCCACAGAACCTGCCATAAATCTGGCGGCGCCTCAGCCCCCTG